TTCTTTAATATATATAGAGTTTTTAAAAAGTGATATTCTTGCTTCTCTCTGAAAAGTTTTAAGTTTTTATTACATCTTAACAAAATTTTTACAATTAAATGTAAAAAATAGTAATTTAAAAATATAAGACATCTCATCCTTTTATATAATTTTGTTACACAATAAGAATTGATAATAATTTTTTTATTTTACTTGGGATCGCACAAGATTTGGGTCAAAATTTTTCATAGAACGATAGAATTTTGAGACATTAAAATTTGTAAGAAAATGTTGGATTTGTGAAAAAAATTTTAGCTTTATATTAAAATTCGCAAGCGTCACTTACATTCATTCCACGTTTTAAATGAATCAACATAGCTCGTGAAAGCTATCACTCCCTTTGCACCTACATTTTGCGTTTCGGGTTGCAGATTTTATGCGACTGTGAACTCCGGCCGAATTTGCAGGTTCAATTATAAAGTTCCGTCTGTCCACGTGACAACCTGCGTGGCGACTTAATTCTCTCGCTCGTCCACTTTCGCAGGCACTGTTGCGCGCCGAGCTCAATTTCACGGCGGGGCGAACCGCCGTCGCAGGGCGAAACGAAACGTGACCTAGTTAAATTTTCTGTCTCCGTCTAAATCGTGTGAGTGACGGTGCACGACAGTGGCTTTTCATCGATATGCTTCTCAAGCTCTGAATTATTGAAGTTTAAAAATTATCCACATAATAAAAAGACAGAATAAAAGATATACATATAGATATTTTGATATGCACAGTCAAGCAAATCGTCGGAATTGTCTTTCACCCAAATAGACTTTAAATATGTTATATTTAAAGCATCAGAAAATATTAAACTCATGTGTATCTTATCCGCGTATCTCTAAGGTTTAGAAGAAACAATTAATCTTTTGAAAATAATGGATTTTTTTTATTTTTGACATTTTGAAAAATGTGAGTATACCTTTAGAATGCATGAAACCATAAAACTTTTTTCATATATACATAAAATATTTTTTTATATATATCTCACAATTTATTATCACAAAATATTTGCTGAAAATGAAAAAGTTCGTTATTTTCGAGAGATTTTTTTTTTATTCTTAAATCTTGAGCTAAGCAGATAAAAAAAGGTTTAATATTTTTTGATGCTTTACAAATCCAAAGTCCATCAAAAATGATGAAAGACAGTTCCGAC